ACTCTGGTGACTGTCTGAATGTGGCAACCTCTTTTCTAATCAGTCTGTCATAGAAGACCAACGTCCTGTGAAAAGGGAACAGAAGTTGGGACCAGACTCTCACAGGTAAACATAGGCCAAGTGCAAAAAAAGACAGAGGAAGTTACCTGAACTATGACTGTATAAAATACAGCATGATAAAGCTTGTTATGAAAGAACCAGTCTATAACTTCAAACCTGCTACAGAAATACTGCTTTTAGTGGTTTTTCAATCTTACAAAATGCTTGCCTTTTCATTTCTCAGATGTGCATCCTTATCACCTAGCTTATTTTCCTTCATCTTCTCTACACCTTTAAAAAAGAAGAAACAATTTACAATACAAATGAATCTGCAAGTAGCCCATGTAACTTAGGCTTCATACAGGGTTATATTACTGACATTTTTACCAAACCTGAAAGAATTGTAAAAAAATTTCCCTCATTTATCAAGTTAGTATTCATGCTTAAAAGGGCCCTGGAGGTTCCAAAATATGCATATGCAAAAGTCTGCTCTGTCACCATTAAGAAAAAATCACTTAAAATTCACAACAAAGCAGAAAAACATTTTCCAAGGTATTCAGAGGAAGATTTACTATAATTCCATAATTATGTGAATTTCCCTCTTTCAAGGAAACACAACTCATTTTGATCATAGTAAAGCTGAGTATATAAACATGAAGGACAAAAAAAGAAAAATCCAAACTCTAGAAACTTTACACAGCTTAACTGTTTTCTTGGAATTCAGCAGCAGTATTCCACAAAACCTCTGTTCTATAAAGCATTATTTGTATTTGAATTTAGCATATCATGTTTTACAAACTGACCATGTTTCACCTACAGGGGATATTTTTTTCACATTGTTCATCTTGCAACAGAACAGGCATTTTAAGACCAGATAAGAGAGATCAAAGATACTTCAGACCTGACAAACTGACAGGAAGATAAGGTGACACCAGTCCCACAAGAAGCTAGCCAGCCACCAGTGCCGGGTGTGACACAGAGCACAGCACAGCTGGGAGTCTGGGCCCCCACTGAACTGCCAGAGACCCTTAGCCCATGGCTCCAAAAGCACAGTTGCTGCTGTTCCAAGAGGGCTTTGCAAATGCACCTCAGACTCACACCGTGGCAAGTGAAACCATTAGGACATGGGTTCTTTTCTGCTGTTAACACTGTCCACAAGTCCCAAGAGGAGAATCAAGTGAAGCCTGGAACGAAGGAGCCAGGGGTAACAGGCTAGCAGTAAATATCTCAATGGGTACAGAAAGAAGAACAGGGAAAAAGAGGAACTCCCCTGAATTTCAGGTTTCTCCAGAGTTCACAACTAGTTTGGCTTCATTTATGCTTCAATTATCTTACCGCCCAGCCAAAAGACACCTCACAGGCAAAGTATGTATTTTGACCCCCCATACTGAGTAATATTCATACTAAATAAATGCCCATACTAAACTGCCACTGTCAGCTATGAAGCTGCACTACCAGCAACAAGATCCTTTCTGAAACAACAATGGTGTTGACCAACGTCAAACAAAGCATAAGGTGATCTGTTTCAATTTACTAGCACTGTTTCAAAAAAAACATGTCTGGGCAAATCAAGACCTTTGTCTACAGAAGAAAATACGCTTATTTCTGCATGTTATTCTTAGTGTATAATCAGACAAACTTCTAACCTAAGCTGTTAGAACAGCCAATATTGCACAGCTGTGTTTGTAGCTTCAACATTTTACCTTTGGTTTTCTCAACACCTTCTACAACAATGAGATAATAAATTAAGAATGATAGTATCTCAGTTTATGTTCAGTGCTTTTGTTTAACAGCTAGACACTTTTCCTTGACACTTTTCCAACCCCCAGAGAAGATGAGGATTACATTTCTCTCCTCCAGCACACAATAATCGGTATGATAAGTATTGAAGAGATCTGCAACTTCCAGTTTGTGAATTATGACAGAATATCACCAGATGGCAGCAGAAACCCATCCTTGCCTTCCAACTCCTCAAGGCTTGATGGAAAGATTAGAGCTCCACTGCCAGGATAACCACAGAATTTCACCAACTGGGTCAACATTGCAGATATTTGTTCTATTTGAGCCCAGTATTTACCTTCTAAAGACAAACATTTTTTCCATTAAGTAGAATTAAAAATTTAAAAATCTATCTATAAAATACAGTTCAATGCAGTCTGAAACAGACCAACTAACACCAAAGGTTTGCAGTTGTTTTTGTTTTTTTTAAGAGAGGCAAACTTCTTTTTTACAGATCCACACTAAAGCTGTATGTGTGTATATATATGTACAGGAAATGACAAGGTAGCAAGAGAAGTAAATCAAACTAAGCAAAAGAGAGATAGAATTTTCTTTAAAATCATCTGCATTTTAGTACCAGATGTACCACATGTACCAAAGTAATATTTTAGAATTGACTCATCCCACATTTCTTTAAATCAGTGTATCACTGATCTACACAGTGATGAACCACTATCTTTATCACTGCTACATCAGCAGGCTCCAGTGATCCAATACTTCACTGAAAGAGGAGCCTGAACCATAATTAATATAGAACAGTGGCTGCAAAAACCACCATGTACACAGGAATAAATGTTACATTTTAAGCCCACTGATTAGATAATATACCAGGACCTAGCTCTCAGGAGAAAACAGACAACGGAAATTAAGCCAAACTCCTAACTTTCTACTTCTTTCCAGAGCCACAATTTGGCTGCAACTTGCCCAGAACTGAGAATAAACCCTGCACCTTGCAAAACCTCCCCAGTATCCACAATGTTCTAGATCTGCTGAGGCACTTTTAAATTACCTAACTCATTCTTTCACCAGGACTTTTGTTCACTCTTCCCCCTACAATTTCACAAGGAGAAAACTGCTAATGAATATGTGTCGTAAGGACAGACTTGAGTCTGGAGAGCTCGCAGATTTCCTGTTAAGCTCCTAGTACCTCCAGTGATCTTTAAACATCTAGTCCAGAGTCGAGTTAATGTATGCATCTGATTTATGACACAGTAGTACTTAGGTAACAGTTTCAAATTCCCATGTAATTCTGTACCATATAGCAGCAACAGGAAAAGGAAAAATTAAATTTGTGGTACCATTCCTTGCACTCACATAACATTATTGAATCGGAAAAGTCCCAGAAAATGTCACAGTTACAGCTTAATTCCTTTTCTAAAGCTGTAAACCTAAAGTCTCACCTTTTCTTTTCCTCTATTTAAAAACAGGGACTAGAGGTTTGATATTGCTGTTTCAGTTTTTCAGCAGAAAAGCACAAATAGGCTAAGATTTACTCACTCTGATTATCTTCTCTGTTAGTCTGAGCTTCTACAGGAATAGACTGCAGAGCTGTCATAATCCTCTGAGCAATATCAGATAAAGGTACTTTAGAAATCTCACATCCTATGTAACGCTCCATTTTTAAGATTAAACCTAAACACAGAACACAAATTATGAATTAATCAAGGCCATTAGTAATCCTCATTTATATTCTGTTGAAACTAAAGACAAAAATATAGTTTGAAACTAAAGACAAAAATATAGTGAACACGTTTAGCCATTCATTCTCAATGGAAAATTGCATTTGCTCCCAGACATGTCTACCAGTACTGTATTGGAAATAACAAATATAATAATTTATAAAAACAAACTTTGAAATAGTTTTTTAATACACTGATTAAAAAATCAGCAGTCCTAAGTACAGCTAACTTTACTATTAAAAAAAAAATCTGACAAATAAAACAAGAAGTATGCATGTCGGAGATACTTTCCGCCTCCCAGCATCTTTAAACTTGTCTGTAGCTTAGCACATGCCTACATTTACTGTTACTAGTGCTTGGATTTTATCAGGAAAAGCACAATTAACTTTCAAGCAAGCTGCCAAAATTAAGCCAACACAAGATTAAAGAAACAAGCATTACTACCACAATGTCTGGCCATTAGTTATGTGCTATCTCAAAAAATACTTATCATAAAAGACCTCTGCTTTCTTAAATTTTGTATAATTGATGCATTCAAATATTGCTATGTCTTGGTAACTTTAAAATAGCTGCTATAGCTTGTCAATTTAAGAAACTGGTCAGCAACATCAATAGTCTCTACATGCTTTGACCCCAGCTACTGTTGTTGTAAATGTTATCCTTTTCTGAATAGGAGCTGGTTTTCCAGCTAAAGTGCCCATATTCTGTAATACCTACAAAATACTTGGAGAATCCCTAGGTACAACACACACTGGAGAATCACAAGAAACAGTGCCTACACTGATGACTTGTTGCTTTACAGTTACACCAGAAGAACATGTAAATCTTAAGTTCTTCACAAACACAAGAGAAATATGCAGCATTTTAAAAAACACTTAAAGGATCCAAGCTGTACAAACCAATCACTCTACCAAAACCTGCTGTTGACTCAATTATTCCTATACAAGTGGGTAACTGGAGTCCTGTTACTCTGGTCTTCTCCCACTAGATCCCACTGATGCATGAGCAGACTGTCAAACTTAACCATCAGCAAACAGTTCCTCTGCCTACACAGAAATATTTTTCTTGCCTCAAGACCACAGGTACATTGCAACTTTTAGTATTTACAAATGCAAATATTTGCATACAATTCAAAGAGGAACATCCATCACACTGCATTAGCACTGGCTGTATCTATCTAGTTCTAATTAGTAAGCATGTGAAGGAAAGGGTGAGAGATGGAATGGCTTTCTTTTCCCCAACATTCCATGAGTCAGAAGTACAATCCTTCCCCACACTCAAATCCTCCTAACTTCTGTGAGAGCAACACTTCTTTCCTACACAGGGTTAAAGTTCTCCCTGACTTCTCAGGCTGGGAAGCAGCAGCCCCAGAAGCAGAACAAAATGAGAACCCATCAGACTTAAAAATAAATAAGACACCATGACTGAGAACAGGCCTAGAAAAACCCACACAGATTCACCATAAATATTAACCACACTGAACTGAATTGACAGAGTTTGGCATTTAATAATAAACACAAAGAGTAAAGCAGCATTAAATCCAGACATAAAGACACCCGACCAGTAAGCTAAAAAAAAATAAGTTATAAGTACATAGAAGTTAAAAGTCTGCCATCAAAATAGTTTAAAGACTACTGTTACTGAATTTCAACTAATATATTAACCTTCATCAATATGTACAGTGCTTGAAAGCAAGCACAGCTGATCCCATCAAAATATAAAAGACTGGAAGTTATCATACTATAAAAGCCTATTTAGTTCCATTGGTATATTAGGAAGCTATATAAAAATTTGATAAACAGGCTAACAGTGCACATGAAAGCACAAGCACGAAAGCATCAGTGCTCTGAGTTGAAATGCCTATCATTATAAATTATAAGGCAGACTCAGAAGTACAAAAAAGAAATTTAAAATTCTCATTCATTGACAAGCCCAGTGTAAGTATGGACTGGTTTCAATGAAGAAGGTAGATTATAAGTTAAGAGATATTAGAATGGTCTTAAAACAGATGGTCTTGGTAGTTAAAACATTCTGGTACATATTACAACACATTTCTAACAAAACCAAGTCTTCCTAGAAGAACTGTAAGAGAAACAATCATGTAATATCTGCTGCCATTGAGAACTCTCCTCTTCACTATTAGCACATTGCAGTCTTGTTCCAAAATCTGGAATGCCTTCTCCACATTTATTTTGCAGTTCAATCAAAAGTTCTTAGCATGCAGTAAGACTTAACTCAAGGGTATGACACATTCCTATTGATGCTATGCTGTGTGCAGCAGAAGTAAACACACAGGTCAGCAGAAGAGCAGCCTAAACATACTTCTTTCAAATAACCAACAATTACTTCATATCCAAGAGTTCTGATAAAACTGAGACTGAATTCAGCAGGCAGAAGCCATAAAGCAGCACGCAATCCCAGCTGGTAACAGTGGCAGTTAGGATTCACTGCAGTGACAGGTAAGTGTCAGCCTTGTCAAGCTAATGCTTATTACTCCATAAAGTCATACACAGTTTACATTAACATTTCCTTTCTTAAGAGTACACTGCTGTTTAGCCATTAAGAACTCCACTGGTTGTGAAATTCTTGTCTTCCAGACCACTGGCTTTAGCCCGAGACTGCTGCTCAAGCTTCTCCACCATCTCTTTCAAGTGCTCTTCATCTTTGAAAAAATACACATACAAGTCCCTTTCCATCTGATGCAGCCTATTGGACTCTAAAAAGCTTCTCTTTGACTTCAGATCAGCAACCAGATCCTTAAGGAGATGATTTAGTTCACCTAAATCCACTTTCAGCTGGTGAAACTGCTCAGTAAGTTCCTAACAAAAAATAAAAGACAAAAAAATTATTACTTTTCTATTGTTAATACACTAGTTGAACTAGAAATAGGAAAGGCTTTTTGCTTTAGGAAGTCACTTGTTTGTAATCAAAAAAGTAATCACAAAAAAACCAGAAACAAGAATAATAAGGGATTCCATTCAATTGATGTAACTTTTGAGCTCCATGTAACAGAACTCATATCGTATTATGCAAATGTAATTTACTTGTTGACCAGATGAGTTAAGACCACACAAATCTGCACCTGACCTAGAGAGATGAGTGAATGACATTTTCTCAAATCTTAAAAGGGAACAAACAAAAAAAAAGCACAATAAAAAAGTTAAATCAATCTTACAATTAAATCATTAAATACTAGCTACAAGTTTCACAACTGGCATTCTTATGATAGTTCAGTATAAGCAGATTAATCATCTACTTGCACACTGTTCCGTTATTAAAGGAATTATTTTTCTTTTTCTGAGAAACAGTAACAGTAGAACAAGATGTCATATTTTAAGTAGTAACTTAAATCAATAGTAAGGTATTTGATTTAAATATGTGCAATCCCTGAACACATACTGCTCCAATTACAGTCTCATTTTTAAATTAAAACTGTTCTATATGTTGCAAACTCATTTGACAAATGTTAAATATATTTTTATGTAATTAACCAAGAAAGTATTATATAACAGAAGATTCCCCTTGATGCATTTTTGAGGTATCTACAATGATTTATAAACCATAACAAGGTGCATTTAACAAATCCTGTTCCCATTTAAAAGACGTTTTAAATGTAACACCTGAGACCTGGTGCAGCAGGATTGTCCTACTACAATTGTCCTTCAAAATTCTGTTATTTTTAGTTTGTCTGAATGACCCACCCACGGCCAGGCTTTTAATGGGTGAAACTCTACTATTGGGGTCTTAGAGGTAACAAAGGAGAAAGCCCATATGAAATGAAGAGCAACTTAAAGGAGTTTTCCAGTGACACCCTATCCAGACAAAGGATCTCTCACATCACAAGCTTACCAGAATAAAGGACTGCACATGCCCTTGAAAGAAATTCAGTTAGATGCAACAGTTTGCTCAGAAACAAAAAAAATTACCTGCCAGCATTTAGAAAAATCCAACATTTGCCAAGAACAATGTAAATGTTCAGCATCCATTATCATTAATAAATTTGTTGCTGATAAGTGGGGACAGTTTGCATGTCTAGAGCCTTCACACTATACTTTTATCAGTAAAAGAACACGACACAAAATGTAGCAATTTGAAAAAAATCATTAAGGGCCTACCGGACTCCGGAGCTGTATCTGATTTGTTCCACAATAGAGAGCACCATGAAGGGCATCCACATCCCTTTCTAGGCTGGACAAAAGGACAGACTGCTCGCGAGCAGATGCTGCCAGCTGATCTTGTACTGTAGCACAGTCCTGCTTTAACTTCTGAGCCATCTGCTCCAGGCTTTTGTATGTTTTAAACAACTGTTGTTTTTTACTTCCTCCTTCCAGGAGTTGATACAGCCTGGAACAAGTGAAGTTAGACAGACAAATATTTTAACTCTCCTAAGCACTCTATCATTATCAGTTAAGACGACATGTCTGTGTTGAAAAGTCAGAGGACAAGTAAGGTAAGTGCTGCTAAAGGCACTTTTGCAACACTGCTATATCTCCCACTGATTTCAGGATTCCATCTATATATCTATATATAGCAGTGATTAATAGGAATCTGAAATATTTCAGTATCAAATTAGCAGCAATGAAATACTAAAGTAACAGTTAGTAAGTAGATCATGAATGCAAATAGAAGTTGACAGTCTGCTTTTGCCAACTATTTCCTGATACTTCAAGGACTGCAAAATAAGATTTATTTTTAAGTGCTGAATGAAAGCAGACTTCAACAGTTGATGAGAAATAAGAACAATCATAACCTTTTCAAGCTCACTGAAGTATTTCCTGTTTTCTACCTATGAAGAGACCGCTAAGAAATTCTCCAGTTAGTTACAAGTCATGCAAAAGACAGCATTACACACTATAGCAAACTGTACCCTTACACTGTATCAGGAATGGGCCTAATACAATTATAGACAACATTACATAGTCCAAACGTTACTACCACCTCTGCATAACAAAATCTTCAGGAGCTGCTCCCTAATATAAAATCAGACTGGCTTTATTAAGAGCAAGAGCTATATTTCAGAAATAACTGAAGGTCCTTCAAGTGTCTCGTTTACAAACCCTGTAAGGATGTTAATTCTTTCAACTTCCCTTCCCTTTTTCTTAAAAAAAAAAAAAAAAAAAAAGCCAGAAACATTCAGTGATTTGCAGACAACATAATAAACATGAACAAAAATGTAACAAGCTGACACAAACACACAATAGGAGTAAAATTAATTCTTCCAGTCATTCACTGTGACAAACCATACTCAGTTATCACTTATCAATTATTAAAAAACCAAACACTTAAAGCACCATTTTAAAGAAGGAGGAAAAGTCTGACAGTAACACACCTATAATTACACAATTCTCACAATATCTCATCAAAAGATCTAGTCTTGATGGAAGAGCAGCACAGCACACATCCTTAACTGTATCACCTGAACTTTAAGGAGACTTAAATTACTTAGATGGTGAAAAATCAGACTCCTACATGGGTGCCAGGACACTCAAACCAGATGGCAAATCAAGCAGCAAAAATGAGCTAAACATTTCACAGCCCGAAGGAATCATTCCTCTCTCCTACCACACGGGGGGTTTTTGCCCGCTCAGCCGATGAGGTCGTGCATACAACCTGGGAAATCAGTGCTATTAACATCTATGCCTCTAGAGTATCAGGAGGTGCTAGATAAAACAAGCTTGGGTTCAAACATTCTTCATGTTACAGATACTAATTAAGAATGCTTCAGCAATATTACTAAGACTGATAATTGAACAGTTTTTCCTCAGGCAAACCTAAAGAGAATTTCAAAGGACAAGGAAGAAACAAGTTTCACATCTTGAATGCTTCAGCTCTTGAAAATTCAAAATTCTAATTAGCTACAGCAAGTAAAAAAGAATTTGGAAGCAGGCAAGGCATATCTTGCCTGAGCCTTCATGTCCCCAATATTATTTCAAAGGAAATACAAGTTCAACACTGAATATAATACTTACCTGCAAGAGAAACCATCCTCTGAAGTAATAGTGCTCCTTGGCTTTGCCCGTTCCGTTCGTTCAGCTATCACCTGTAGTCTCTGCTGCAACTCATCAGTGCTTTGTTTCAGAGATTCTACCAAATTCTCAAGTTGGCAGCTGATCTCCTGGTGTTTCTTCATCTCCATTTCACAGGCCAGCTGAATAAGTTCAAATGAGGTTTTCTGTCTTATCAAATGCCTGCCTATTTTTTCTTGAATTGCAGCATAATAGTCCTGCTGAGCAATTTGGTGATCTAAATATTCTTTCACCACTGGTGCAGTCAAAAGTTGTGCATTCTTCTTAAGAAGGGGAAGCAACTCTTCATTATTTATCTGAGCTATATCTTGTTTAATTGCTGAAATTTCAGCACTTAAACTAGATATTTTAGCATCAATGTTTTCCTGTTGTCCAATATCCTGCATAAAACAAAATATTTGTGAATTTCTTCATGGCTCCCACCAAGCCACCACCCAAACATTTCTTCAGGTCATATAAGGTTCACGTATTTGTGTTACATTTAGCTCCAAAATTAAATTAAAAACCCTACAAGTAGTTTTACATAATTTTACAAAATAATGCAAATACAGATGAACAAAGTAGATAATAGATATATTTCAGTAAAAAATAATTTCATTCTATCACAGGGTCAGGAAACAGTTTATTGTGTTGAAAATAAAAGAGCTACATGTTACCAAGCACCTATTTCAAGTATGTCTAACTGAAATCTCACAAGCAAACATAATTTTTTATATTCAGTTGGATGATCAACACTGCTGGCAGAATCAATCTTTTTCAAATTACCTTAATCAATCAAGTCCTATATACTAATCATCCAAAACTGAAAATATACAAACTGACATGATGCCTCAAGTTATTCTATGACTGGCATAAGCAAATACCTTTCCTTTCATTATGATTTCCTCACAAATTCCACTAGCCACATTTGCCTGTCACTCATTTGTTGAGAAACTGCTGGGGCTTCAACTATCAGATTCATTTATTTGGTACAAATGCTTGAGTTTCCAGAGTCAGTGAACTAAAACTTTTTAAGCTTGTGATGCGCAATATAAACAGAAATACATTTATCACTTTGGCTCCTTGATACCACAGAACTGCAATCAAAGCTAAGATTCTGTTTATTCTACAAAGAACCAGTTCTAATATGAAAATTCAAAGTTAAACTAAACTAGAAAGGTACTATAAATTCTAAGATTTTAAAGGTAGTAATACTGGAAATGCAGAATTAAAGGAACTGTAGCACACTGAAGAATTCCTAACCATGGAGACTGAAGATATTTCATAAAAGTAGTTTTGTAGCTAAGACTAAAACTTCTTAAAAGTGCAATTTCACTACATAAAAATATTTGAAATAACAATAACTCAGCAACTCCCTTTACTAGATCAAATGGAACTTGTCTGTCTGTTTAAAACTCCAGTACCTTTCATCACCTTTTGTACCTTACCTTGTCCGAGGATTGCAGCAGGCTCTCCGCACACTGGATAGCTGAATTCATGCCCTCCTCTTCAGCTCGCAGCTGAATTAGCTGGTTCTGACCACAAATATACGCTGCCTGGAGTCTGGCTATCTCTTGTCTCTCTTTACAAACTTCATCAGCCTCATCTAAAGGGACTTGCTTGATTAAATCTTCAAGCTGAAAGCTGCCTTCACGTGAATTTTCAGCACATTCAGACATACCTTTATAAAAATGCTTTTTTATGTGTGATGCAACTGCTGCAGTACTTTGTTCTTCCACAGACAAATATTTATCCAAAGAAAGTTGGGAAAAAAACACTGGATGTGTATCCGACCCTTGTTCTGAATCTGAAGCAGTGAAGAAAGAAGCAAATTTCTTCACTGCAGCTGTAAGAGACTGCAGTTCATGGTCAAGCTTATTACTTGCTGCAGTAAATATTTCCAGACCTTCTTTCCAATTCTTACGTGCTTCTTCCTCTTTGCTTTGGAACGTTTGCAACACGTGGCTGTTTGTAGTAACCAACAGTTGAAGCTTATTATGCCGATGAATTTGAAGGTTTTTTAGCTTCTGAAGAGTTTGAAGCTCATCCTCTAATTTCTTCACTTCTTCCCTGTCCTCCTCTTGGCTACTGTTCATTGAACCCATGGGCTCCAAGGTTTTAAGGACTTCATCCAGTGCACTTCCTTCCAAAACAGGCTGACCACACTGTAGAAGATTCTGATAATCTCGCTGTTCTTCTTCAGATACCACATGCTGCTCATTTATGTTTCCACAAAACCACTCCAAAAATGATTTGTCTTCTGAAGACTCAAACATCCAGTCAAAATCTTCTCCATTAAGCTCATCAGCCTTTGGATATCCAATTTTTTTAAGAGTTTCCACAAAATCCTTTCCACAGCTCATGATGAAATATTTTTGTAAGCAGAAAAAAATCCGAATACATGGAAAAGATCTGGGGTATTATTCCAGCTTTGTTTTTTTTGCCATTTATAATGAATATTCAGTATTTTAATAAAAAGAGTCTGTACAGGAAAAAGGAAGTGTCAGATCAAAAAAAAAAAACAAACCTGGAATGCTGTTTTGGATTAAAGTGGCTATTCAAGACTAGAAACCAATTTTAATTTCAGATACCTTAATATATTTTGTTGATCAAATCAGGACATAACAATTACATCCCATATCATTGCAAGCACTTGTTTTGCCTTAACTCACATAAACTTATTATGAAAACAGTACAGTATCATTAATTTAAAAGCAACAGGTGTTAATACTGAGCAATTCATTGCCCTCCAAAAGTGATTTTACTTACACAGTTTTCTGTACATTCTTTTAAAAAAACACCCATAATTATTTTAACTCCTCGGAAATGATCAGGGTTTTTAGTCTGTTCTAAAAACAAAACTACAGTGATGTTACACTGCACTTCAAGATCTTGGCTACAAGAGTTTTTTTACCTCAACAGCAAGCAGAATCTTGTCTTCTAAACCTCTGTTTAAAAGTTTCCTCTGAAAATGGAACAATAAATACTTTAACATATTTGATCGAAAAAATTAAAATTAAGATCAGTGTAAAAATACTCCTGTGAAAATGGTCACAACTTAGAGGAGGCAGTTTGATGCTTTTTTGTTTCCTAGCGGACAAATAATCAGCTTTGGGATCCTAAAGCACGTGTAACAGACAGCGAAGGATATAGGATAACTAATCAATAGTCAGGAGGCCTTGTCTGCAATACTCTGATAATACGGACTTTTTTTAGTTTGGTATTACTTAATACTTTGTTTCTAAAACATGCATTTCACCAGAGAACCCCGTTCTGCCAGTCAGCCTGGAGCACTGAACAAGTAAAGCCATTTCTCTTAAGTACCCCATGTGTCTGTCTGATTTAGCTCAGAGACTGCAGATGACACAGAATGTTGCGCGAGTATCGTGTCACATGGCAGCGCTCCAAGAGTCCTCTGCCCTCCATGCTTAAAAGGGATGTCCTCAAAATATATAAATATGGGTCCCAAGAAGCGGCTGCCGCATTCTTTTCAGTGGTGCCCACTGACAAGAAGTAACGGCAATAAGCTTAAAAAACAAGAAGTTTGACCTTAACACGAGGAAGAACTTTACGTCCGTCATTCCTCTCAGTTGAGGGTGGCAGGGGACTGGAACAGGCTGCCCGGAGAGGTCGTGAAATTTCCCTCTCTCGAGACATTCCAAAACAACGTGGACGCGCTCCGGGATAACCTGCTCCAGGTGATCCTGCAGGGGGGTTGGACCGGACGGTCTCCAAAGGTCCCATCCAACCTTACTGATTCTGTGATTCCGTGAAATAATGGGCGCCCACACAGTCCTGTGCCTGGGCACGCCGGGCCACCACGGCACTGCCACTGCCATCAAACACCACAAAAAACAACTCCGGAGCCCTGAGGGAGCACCCGCGGTACCCGTCCCCGCCCGGGCCGCACAAGCGGGGCCCTCAAGGGCCACGTCCCGCCCCCCGGGGCAGCCGCTGCCTCCAGCCACACAGGGATTCTGGCCGGAACGAGAGGTCGGAAGGGAGCGGGGAGCGGTGGCGGCTGATCCCGTCCCGCCGGGAGCGAGTTCCGAGCCCGCAGCACAGCTCCATACTCACCCCAGTGCTCTGCTCTGCCGCAGCGGCGGCTCGAGGGAAGGGGAGGGGAGCGAGGCGGAAAATGGCGGGAAGGCTGAAGGGAGCCTCAGAGAGGGCTGAGGGAAAGCGGCGGGAAGGCGGAGGGGAGGTTAAGGGAGGCTGAAAGGAGGCTTAGGGAGGGTAAGGGGCGGTGGCGGAAAGACCGAGGGAGGGATGAAAGAAGACTCAGGGAAGGCTCGGGAAGCGCCCCCAGCTCGAACCGCCCGCCGCGCGCGCGGTGTCCCCGCCCTGCTCCGCCCACCGCGCTTGCGCACGAGCCCGCTCCGCCCACGGGGGCCCCGCGCACGCGCGCAGTGCTCCGTCTCGAGCCCGGCCCGCTGACCGGTGACGTCATGTGGGCGAGGCTCCCACGGCTGGCCGCGCTTTCCCTCAGGGTGGTCGCCTCGGTCCCGATGTCTTCGTCCCGTCCCCTCAGGCCTGTCAGGCCTCGCAGGCCTGGCCCTTCAGCTCTCCGCGGCCTTTGCTCCTCGGTTCCCCTGCCCTGCGAACGGGAGGAGGAGGATGGGGCAGACTTGAGCGTACTTGATGTCGCTGAGCTTTGACTGCTGTGCCCACCGGCTTCCTTGAACCCCAGACGTGGCTAGCGGTGGGCACTTCGCCATCCGTACCCAATGTCGCTGTGTTGGTGGTTTTCACCCTGCTTAGTCCTTTAAGTAATTCATGGGCTTTATGTCCCTGGATTTGCCTGCTACCTTTTTAAACATGCTGACACATAACAAGGCAACATCCCAGAACATCATTAAGTGCTGCTTGAAAAGGCACTTCCCTAATTGTTTCGTAGCTCTAAAAACTCATCAAATGATTCCTGGCATTAGCCTTTCAGGATCTGGTCACTGCTACCTCTGCATGTACCTTACCCGTGGTATTCATGGCAATTTACAAACTATCACAGCATTTTCCTTCAGCTTTGTCCTCTAGTTTGAAGAGTCCTAAAATTCGGCCTCTGTAGAGCCAGTGCTCCATTCCCAACATTGTTCCCAACATCTTCCCGTGAACCCTTTACAGCATCGCTGTGCCTTGCTCAGGGTGCAGACAAGACTGCACAGAATCCTCAGGGCATGGGTCTACCAAGGTTTTCTACAGAACCCTCATTTCCAATGCCTTCTTTACAATGCTCCCTGTTTTCTTGGCTTTTTGGTTGCTGCTGCCTGTGAAGTTACCAGAAAGCTCTCGACATAGATTGTGGAACCTCTGCTTTGCAAAGGCTGGCTCTCAGACAAGCATCATGTAAACTTGTCACTAACGCTCTGAGCATCCTTCATCAACCACTCCTCAAGTTTAGCCGTCTTCACTTCCTCTTTACATTTCGCATGCCACATTTTCCTGGGCTTCCCCATGTTCCTTGCAATAGCCTCCTTAAATTTCTCATTGAGTCATGCAAGGCGGGGGGAGGTTTATGCCACGTTTTTCTATTTACGTCAGACATTTTACCTTGGCTTCTAGAACTGTATTTTTAAGCCTTCTGGGTGTTTGCAGGCTTCTTGGTTTGGAACTGCTCATTTAGGGGTTTTTTTGGCATTTTTCCCCATTATTGCATAGGTTATTTTCTTAAAATTGAGTATTTGTTTGCTTTATTTGTCTTGCATTCATCTTAGTGTTAAATTTAATTATATTGTGGTTGCTACAATTGAGCAGCTCACCCTCTAATAGCTCTTGAATTAGATCCTCTGCACTGCTGAGGTCTAAATTCAGAATGGCATTTTTTTGTTGTGGTTCGTATGGCCAGTTATTCTAAAAAGAAATAATTTATTGTATCCAGAAATGTTATCTTTACGTTTCACCCTGATGAAGCATTGACCCAGTCCGTATGTGGGTGGTTGAGCCCTCCCACTACTTGTCCTAAATGTGCAGCTTCTCTAATCTCACTTAATGCAATTGTTGAAATGAACCAACACAGGGAAATGAGCAACCTTGCAGCTTAGCACAGCTAACAAAAGCTCACATTAGGTTTTCTTGATCAAAATCAGCACCTGTATCACTTGCAAAGTGCAGAATGCTGATTTCTGGTATAATGTGGTCTGTGCAAGACATTTTTAGACTAAACCCTGACCTGGCAGTGAGTTTTCATGGGCAAAAAGAGCTGTAGTGTTGAATTCCTCCCCATCAGATTACAGCCTGATCTGCAGCTGCAATTTAGGCTGGCTGAAGTTTTCAAATCATCTTGCAGATAGAGTGCATTGTGCCTGTCCAACAGGGAAGGAGCAAAAGCTTTCACCAGCTTATTTCATAATGCCCTGCTGTTTCAGTTCAGTCAGTTACTTGCACCAAAATCAACTTCTCCTACAGTGGTATTTTGCAGACTTGTGCTTTAGTGTTGTGGTTTGGGGTTTTGTTTTTTTTTTTAATATAAATATCAGTGTTACTCATGTAAAAAATGCCTGCATAAAAGCAAATTTGCTAATTTTAAACACCTAGAAAAATTCCTAAATTATGCTGTACAAAGGCAGCTCTGCCAATGAAGTCCACAAATACATCTGATAAAAGTTTGCCTGTCTTTAGTATATCAAATTGTCTTGGATTACTGCAACTCATGCCTTCAGTTCCATGTGTGACTGGTTCCCCATCCTCTTTCCAGACTCACACAGCTATGATGTCCCACCTCCTTCATGGCCTTTCCTAAAACCTATGTCCCCATGTTTCCCTGGGAAAGCAGCACTACATGCTCATTCTGTAGCAGGTTTGGAGCTATGTCCATGCTGGCCAGTGGCCACCTCTTGAAAACAGGGAAGAGCTCAATTTGGCTATGTTCAATGCAGGAAATAATTTATTTTTCTTTCTACCCAGACATGGAATTTCCATGAAAGTTTTCATCATGGATTATTAATTGCAGGCTCCATTTTATCTCTGCTTTGTCAAATTTGGTGAAAATTAGCCAGAAGGTTCAGAAGTTATCAAGGAAAGGAGGAGGGGAACAGATGGACGAAAGAGGAGTTGACAGACAGCATGATCTCATAATCCCCGCTGGCATAGGAATTCAGGCTAGAATTGAAATATTTTAGGTCAGAACACTGTGCACTTAAAATTCTTATTTTGAAAGAACAAGCCTCTAAAGAGAAACAAATTTTCATCTGTTAGACCATTGATCAGCTCTTAGGGCAGAGATTAAACAACAGCCTTCTACAAACATATCATCAGAATTTCTGACAGCCCCTTTCCCCACCCAGCCTCAGACCCATGTGCATCAGTGTTTGCTTTTGCAGCTCCTTTTGGATCAAGATTGTTTTCCTCTGATTCTTTTTTTGTTGTTGTTGTTATTGTGTTCAGTCAAAACATAACTAAGGCTTACCTTACCCTTTTTTTCCATTCTAGGAGCAGTTGTTTTGCATCTGTTTCCTAGAACTGGAGAGGCTGCTCAGATAGCATATTGCCTTTACAAGCCATTTTACGGTGAATTCCAGCAGATTAAGGCATAAACATTTCTGGAAGGATGTCTGCAAGCTCTGCAGTATTCCATCCATACCATGTTATGTTTGTTCCACTGCAAAATATGACATCATTGTGCCGGACACCTCAGAGAGGAGCTCTCGGTTACCCATCGTCCGAGGCTGTAACAAACAGCCAAGGAGTACAGTGCCACCTCATAGGCATTGCAGCTGCCCGGTCTAAACCCTCCCACTGGGATACATCTGTCAGATGGAAAACTCAAAGTTGTTTGCTTGCTACTGCTTCAGGGTTTTGTTTTGGTTATGGTTTTGTTTTGGGAAAAAAAATCAACACAGAGGAGGCAAGGAAATAGGCTTTTAGCTGGTGAACTGTAACTGTACAGAAGGTTTTTGATTTTGCATCATACTGCACATCTGCTCACAGCAGCAGGATTGCAAAGGTCCCTGCTGCAGATTGTACGAACAACAGTCACTCTTTGGAAACACCTTGTTCTAAAATGCAATTCATTGCTTTAAGCAAATTTGTGTTCCGGATTAAGCACAACTTTTGAAATGCCATGTGAACTTTTATTATAAAGTCAGAAGACAGGAATTTGGCACCAGCTTGCTTTCTTTGCCAAGTGCATTTATCTTTAATATAGAGGAATGGTAGATTTCATTCTGAGACCTTGTAGTCCCAAAAAAAGCAGGTCAAAGTGATTAGTTCCCTTCAGCTTTTTTGGATTCAGTACCATAAATATACAAGAAGCACCTACACGTTTGGCCTACCACTCCTAACATATTTAAATATATAATGCACAAAGGGATATTTTTCCTATAAAATTGTTTGTTTACTCTCCTGATCCTGTTTTGAATGAAACCCCCAATTTTAACCCTGATAGGCAAGGCAAGCTTCTGAATGTTTAGTATTAAATTTGAAACATTCATGATTAGCAAAATGAGGAAACTTATTTTTCTTATAAACAAATGGCATGATATGACAAATGTCATAAACAAAGCTGTACAGATCATAAACTGTACAGAATTAACTAAAATAGTGCCACCACATTTATAATAATTTCTTTACTCAATGCTCTTCTTGTGCTGAGAAAACTGGTACTGTCACAAAGTACAGCACTGCTAAAATGTTATTAAAGCTATTTTTTTCTGTTGGAGATTAATTTATAGTAAGTTATTAAGCGCTAGATTGTATTTTATGTTTATTTTGTGATAGTATTAATTTCAGATAAAACTGATAGAAAAATTAGTTTACTATGCTTTGCACATATATTCTTATGAGTATCTTACTGATTCAGCAGCTCAGCTTAGTCAAATCAAAAATAAACGTATCAACTAGCTACTGGCCATGCTTTCAACAGAAAACTACTACTTCTGTATTTTTAAGATATCACTGTATTTAAGAACAACATGCGTGACAATCTGACACACAAACCAGGGGATATCACACACTGCAGCTGAGAGTAAACAGTGTAATTCACAGAATGATTTCAGCTCGTGCCTCCTCTCATCTCTCATCAGCTAAAATGCTCGTTTTTGTCTGGCTGCAAATCACTTGTGATGTGACTTTCATATTTGGCAAAATAAACATGCAGAACATGTAGGCTGCCTTTTAATGCTTTTTTCACTTTCTTGTACAGAGCTGAAATGATTTCAAGTATAATTACTTAGAACGGACACTAATGTATTTCAATTTGCACTTTGCAAACAGGTTAGTTTGTCTTCAGAAATGCAATAGTGGAAATTTATACAGCACCCATGGTTAGAGACAAATAAGATTAATGACTGTTGGGGTTTCAATGGGCCAGTGTGTGTAAAAGAGCTCTAAGTAGCACCCCAATCTTCATACCGTGCTATTAATTTTAATTGCTGAAATTCAGTGAGCTCCTTATGAAGTAGCTGACATGAAATAAGCTGACATGTAAAGATTTGCAGTATGTAAAGAACTGAAAAGAGAAGAAACACTATGCACAAAAACCAAGTGATGAAAGTTTAAAGAAACCTGAGTAACACAACAAAAAGGTATAAAAATTTGTATTTATATTGTGATGAGATAATGATACAACACAATACTCCGTGTGCTACAGAACGTAGCAAGTGCCATGTACGTGTGTACAAATGGATCTGTATAATACAGTAAAATGCATCTCACAGACTATGAACCATTCCTTTGGCTCTGGGACCCAGAGGCTCTGGCACAGAACCCACTCGCTAACATCTTTAGGTAACAATTTTACCAGTAAGCAGCAGAAGGCTCTCAGTCAGTGCTTCATGTGCACCAAAATTTCAAACATCCATACAGCACAGACCCATCCCAATGCCATGAATCCTGTGTAACCACAGTTTATGCCTCTCATGCAAAATGAAAGAAAGGAATTCTGAACTTGGGGCACCTTCACTGTGCCTTGCCAGTAGGCAAGCTTCTGGCTGGCCATGCCTCCCCAGGAATCCTTTCCTGGGCTTCTTTACAATACTTCAGGCAGAGAGAACAGCCAAGGTGACCAAATGGTCTTTTCTGTTTCATATATCCCCTGCATTTTAATACTGGGTAGCTATGGAACACACTTGGATGTTTTCTTTACAGCTACCAATTAACAACAGTGCATTTAGACAGACACTTAAGCAAATTGGCTCATTTCATTGCTGGCAACATTAATTTCTGTGTTTGCCCCATTAGTATTTGTAGGGAGTACAGCTCTTCCTTAAAGGGTTCCTAAAGGGTTTCAATTATTCTTCCATCAATTTTGGAAAGTGTAAGTTAATGGATTAAATATCAGCACTGTTACTGGCTCATGCCACACACAACCAATGGCCTCTACCATTTAAAAACATTTAACAGATTTATAAAAGACTAATTTGTTTTGAAGCCATTTCTTTATCAGCAACATCATAAAATGAAATGTATAAAATTAATATTACTTAATTAAAAGCAGTGATGATATGGTTCTTTTCAAAAATATGTTTCTTTCCACATGGCTGATCTGCAAGGATGAAAAATTTCACCACTAATTACCAGTCTGCCAAAAAGTTAGTAAAATGGTGAAATAATCACTTGGCCAAGAGCAGAGACTGCTGTAAGTACCTCCAGGAAAAGCAGAAGTACCCGCCCAGAGCAGGTCTGCAGGCAGAGCCCACTTGTAACTTCACCTCTTTCTGTTGCTCAGTTCTCTTCTTTTGGCATTTTAAGTTCATCCACTGAAACAGGTTATGCAAAGTGTACATTCAGATGCTCAGCATACTGGTATTTATCACCGTAATTAATTTGTAGATCAATGAGTAACATTTTTTTTGCTTCTTTGATTATATGCAAGTGGTATAGTTGAACCCATACTCATCCATGTAAAAAATATAACACCACTGAAGTCAGAGTCTTAATTCTGTAAGTTAGATCAAGTTAGATGTGTTAGATTTTAAGTAGTTTTTTTCAACTCCAAATCTTATACTAATAAATTAGGATTGTCCATCTATATACCCCACATGGAAAACTGTCCTTTTCATGGATTTTTGGGAGGCTTTTTTATTTCTATTTTAACCTGCTAAAACTGACTCTGAACCAAGTCTGTTCTTTGCAGAAGACAATACAGGATCCATTCTCTGGTTAATAATGTGTTGCAGAGCTTCTACTGCCAAACCTGCTCTTTTCAGAAGATAAATAAATCAGCTGCAATGGGCCTGGCAGGGTACAAGCTGGGCTGAGAGAGGATGGATGTGAAGGAGGATTCATCCTCTGAATTGCAGCAGAGAATATGCAGAAGGAACTAACAATTTTAGGCAGTTTTTTTTGTGTCTCCCTCCGGTGATGCCAGAGTGCAGGCACGGAGCTGGAGGAAGCACTAATCCAGGAGCAGTGCAGAGGCGTGTATCCTCCGACACCTGCGTGCTGCAAGGGAAAGCCCTTTCTTTCTTCTCCCCCAGGAAACAGGCCAAACCTCTACGTCTCCATAAAAAGAACTCCACGATGACTTCATCTCTCCAAAGCCCCTTCCGCAGAAGAAAACGACCTAGCAGCCCTGTAATCTTGTCCCTACTCCTTTTCCGATGTGGCAACTGCAGAGGAAATGGATGAACTGAGCAGTAGCACCTCCTCGCCTGCTAAAAGTGTGGTCATGACAACAGCGGAGCTGCCAAGGTGGTGGCAGGATTTAATCTTGCAGCAAACAGTTTGGTTTTTTGCAGTCCCACTGTGGGCACAGAGACACTGGTGCACACGCACGGGGCACACACACAAGTGTCCAGCTGAGAAAAAATAATAAAAATAACACTGCTTGCATCCCAAGGTGCTGTGGCCACAGGCAGTGCTGCACTGGCTGCTCAGCAGCAGAACCTGAAGGAATGTCAGAGCCCCGACTGTCCCCATGGGACTGCAGCTCTGCTGGGGGGGACAGCCCAGCCCCCAAACCTGACCCTAGGAACTGCTGTGCCATTGCCTCTAAAGGGGCTGCTGCTGTCCGGGGGCTGTGCCTGAAAATTCCACCTTAAATTGGGCTGTGCTTCAGGGAGAATGACACAGGCAGTATGGTGTCATTTTTCTTTACCAGTGTAATAGCTCCCAGCTGTAATAACTGAAAAAGTAAAAACAAATAAACCCTTTTCATTTCCACTCAAGATTATTCGAGTAATTTTTATTGAAAATATAAGATCTACAAAGCCATGGATACCCAGCGTGGAAGAACTCATTAAGTTAGCACATTCATCTTTAAAAGGAAAATTTCAGGTTGACCTAAGGTACAATAATATTCAATTTAAAGTCTCGTTTTTCCTTCTGTAAGTTTCAAATCTCTTTTCATTAGGAGGTTCTGTGCAAGAGCTGCTTGTCATGAAAGGAAACACTTTACAATCCATGAATGTGTTCATTATATAATAAATGAACAGCAACAATATACTAGCCTCTTTTTTTTTTTTTTTTTTTTTTTTTTTTTTTTTTTTTTTTTTTTTCCTGTTAACAGTCGTGTGTTAAAGTAAACTCTTATATTTTTTTTTTCCATGATTTGGAAATTAGTTACATATGCACCAAAGGAGCTAGTAATTTCTGCTGCTTGTCAGCTACACACAATGAGTATATTGCTGTGTGCTTTCCCCAACAATGAGGATTTTAGTAATATGCAAGGTGTATAGAACGTAATACCAAAACCTGCATCACAGAAAAGGTTAATTGTTTTCTTATTCAGCTGCCAGAGTTGATAACCTTAGGCCCCTCCCCAGAGCCAAAGTAGGGGTGGCCATCCGTTAGGTTATGTAAATTAAATGTATACGTTTCCTTGTTGGCAAGTTCCAAGCAGTAAGCGAGAGTGCAAACAAGGATCTGTAAGCTGCCACAAAATGTATTCATATTTCTACTCCGTGTTGTAAGAGCCAAAGGGAGGACACATATGTCAGATGTTGAAAGAACAACCGAACCTTTGCTTTTGATCATTATGGTCAGTCTGTCATGAGGTCTTGTATCCGAATGCTAAAAATGGCACCACACTTGGACATCCCATAGCCTTACACAGTACACATTTGTGTTTCCCAAGCCACTGAGTGCTGGTCTCACAGAGACCCTGACTTTATAAGCTAACAAAAAATAGATTAGGGTGCTGAAGAATCCAAGGGAGGGCTCATACAAAGACAATTAACCCTCGCACCAAAACCTAATTTCATGATTTTACTTAAAGCCACACTGAATCAGTTGTGAGAGGGTGAAGATATAAATACACCTCTCTGCTTCATCCGTAAGAAGGTGGACAACTGACCATTTGAACAGAGGGTCTTGAAACAAAGCTTAGTCGTCCTTTAAACAATGAAAAGGAGAGGCATACATAAATGGTCACCAAGGCACAATATGACAAAGGTGAAGAGTCCCTGAGACTCTGGTCTGGGTCTGTACCATTCCCCTCCTTATACAAGTAAATGAGAACATTTAGGAAAATATAATACAAAATCTCTTACAGGAAATATAGACTACACTTGCTAAAATCACTTCCCTAAAAGTGTTTATAGCTTTTTTCTTTTTTTTTTAGTTTTTTCATTTTTTTCTTTTTTTTTTTCTTCTTTTTTTTTATTTTTTTAAAAGACCTTCTTTAAACAGATAATGCAAAGACTGGTCCATTTTTTCTTACCCGGCAAGCCAAGCTCTAATGACTTCACTAAGCAGAAGTTGTATTAAAATACATCTTCATAGTATTGCTACAATTTGGGTAAATATGTTCTGAACAGCTTGATGAGTACTAAATAAACTTTGCTGTTTTACAGCATACATTTTAATTTTTTTGCACTTTTTTAAGAATAGAAAATGCAATTATAGTGTGCAAAAGAAAAAAAATTAATTATCTTCTAGCTGAATACTGTAATTTTAAGCCATGCCTTCCATAAAAATGTATTGACATGTGTAAATAGAAGAAAAGAAAAAAAAAATACAAGCACACAGATTTCATTTCCTTGCAAGAAAAGATTAACTATCACAAACTGGATCACTTGAGTTTTGTATTCTTCAGAGAAAGAAATGAAAACAACAACCCATAAAACCACTGAAATGCTTCAAATGTCATCCATTCCACGGTAACAGGTTAAAACTGCCATGTTGGTTTCTACTGCTCCCGTTAACATGGATAGAATGATTTGCTGCTGGTTGGATATTGAATACAAAAAGCAAAAGAAAGTTGAGATCATCCCACATGAAGTCATTATTAGAGCTGGCTTTTCCCCCGTTTTGAAGTACAGTAGTGACTTGTAAATATGACCTTTTCTAAAGATCATCTGAGATTTGAAGATTTATCTGCCTCCTTCACCCAAACAACAGCTGCTGAAAGAATTTACTCTATGAAGCCCACTATACAGCATTCAAAATGTTTTGGGTTTTGTATTTTTTTCATGAAAAAATACCACAAAAAGTACTTTTAGGTTTTTGTATCTCTGAATCATTAACACATTGTAGATTTCATTTATTCTTCCATGTTTGAAAATGGTTTCTGCAAAATCAAAATAAACTGTCAAACCCCCTTACATCATGCTTCCAACAATTTGAATTTAATACTTCTTGAATGGAACGACATAATTTATTTCCTTTAATTTGCAGGATGGCTACATCAAGCTAGCTTTAAGTCACAACTGTACCTAACCACAGTTCTCTGCAGCAAACCCATGATTTACAATATCTAATATTGTGGTTACAGTGCAGGGAACCGTGGGTAAGAAACCTCCATGTCAGAGTATTGTGGTTGGGGTTTCCCGGAAGAGTGGCAGTTGACACCTCTGGAATATTCATATATAAGTGCTTCAGTCAGATGGTCCTGAGTTGAGCGGGTAACTCAGGCACTATGAGAGCCTGGCATTCAGTCTGCGGGAATGTGTGTAACCTCCGTCACTCGAACCGCTCTGCAAACTGTAGTGGTCTTCAGCATCACTGGCACTTCCAATACTGTCCATTTCACCTGGAGTAAACTCCATTCCTTCAATGTCTACTTCTAAAGAAAACATAAGAAGGAACATTTTCAGAAAGTTGTAGCAACTAGTCATGGGCCAGTGTCAATCAACATCCAGGTGAAACCTGAATCACATAATTTAAAAAAAAAAAAAAAAAGGACTGGCACATTAATTACTGAGGAAAGGATCATCTTGTGCACTTGAGAATTAAAATCCCTTCTGTCCTCAGCCACATAAATATACTGCATAACATCAATACCAAATGCTTCCCCAGAGCTGTTCTAACCTGCAGCTAGACACTGATTTAGAAAAAGGGTGGCCCTCGGAGGCTGTCCTACTGCAGTGCTGCCCACAGTAATTCCAACCATGCAGGTGTTGGCTGGCCATGGTGTAACTGCATGGTTGGGTGGTTGGGTGGTCCCAGGGAACTGCCCCAAGACCGACCATTCAACCCCCCTGAGCCTTGAAACAGCCAGCCTGGGTGACTGTTCTGCACAGAAAAACTTCCAAATGGGAAAATAAGAAATGGCAACAGCCAGCTTGACGAGCTGTCTTAAATAAGAAACAAATGCAGAGAGCCCTTGGTGATCGTTGCACAGAAAATGTTTTAAAATTTCACAATAAATGATGCGGAAATAATTTATTCACACAAATGAATTAAGCCCAATAAGACTTTTTTTTTCACAAGAAAATATTATGCCAGTCTTACCTATAATTACACTAAAAAATCAAAACATTAAATAGGAATTGTTAAAAAAAACTGGCAAAAAACACATGCAGGATAAATAGATTTAAAAATACACACCGTATTAACAGCTTCAAAACTGATTAGGAAAAAGACCATTTTTCAAAGAATGTGAAAAAGATGTGTTAATTTTTTACTCTCCAAATCACATTATGGAATAATTTTGCCTGGGTTTTGTTGAAAGCTTGATTTTAGTTCTAAATGACATTTCCTTGTTTCCCTACTTCCCTTTTCCTTCCTGCTCCTGCAGGCCCCTTTGGGAAGGCCTGGCTCAATTACCTTGTTCAGAGTCAGTGGATATTGTTGATCCCATGCTGTCAGTGCGGATTCGCTCCATGCCCTGCACGGATAGCTGCTCCAATCTGCGCTTGAGGTAGCGGTGCTCCCGCTGTAATTGTTCTTTAATATTTAGAGCTTTTCGGTCCTGTTCTTCCAATTTCTTAAAAGGGAGAGAAACACATTAAGCTGACAGTTTGTAGCCATGTCAAAGAATAAGTAACTTAAGGTCTTCTCGCAAACAGAAATTTGAAAGAAATTTAAATATTTTAATTAATTAATATAAAGTTAAAATTAAATTTAAAAGTTCAGTTTTTTAGTTAGCATTCTGTAGAGGTCAGTACAATTTTAGCAGGCTGAATTTGTTTCACGGTAAGATATATGGTTACAGGTGAAAAAATGAATAATAAAAAAATCCCTCAAAGACTCTCGCCACTAGCAGGCATTCCTTGGCTAAGACCATATTATTGTTGCCTTGGTTGTGGGGAATATTTAAATCACTTTATCGGGCAAAACCAGCATCATCTTTGATAACTCAAGCACAGCTCAGGTTTCAGTGAGAACATAACGCCTCTTTAGATGAGTCTCTTATTTCACCTATCACCATAAAGGAACCATCGTGAGCCTCTGAATGTTCTCCCTCCTACTGCAGGCCATGGAAAATTTTAGCATTTAAAAAGCTTCATTAACAATTAGCAGCATCAATTATATATAGAAGGATGAATTTACTAACAACTCTCTTTATTCTTGCTTTTTTTTTTTTCCTTGAACTTTTGCAGAGCAAGTATGATAATTCCGTGATATCACCTACAAAGTCAGTGGTATTAATCCAAAATTTCTGAGCAAACAGCCTGTGAAAGGATTCTTCAGATATCTACCTAAAATCTCCCCTCTGACAGAATAAAAGCAGGTATTAATTTTGCAAATAAAAAGAATACTTCACACCCAGTAAAATGTGCTGCACTGTTGGTCCAAATGCAGTAGCAGGAATAGTATCTTTTAGTATTTGAACTGAACCCTCTTCCAAATCACTGGTGGCCATTTAAAAAAATTGACTATATAATCAGGGAAAAAATTGTAAGAGTATGATGGGATTAAAAGCATGAAGGTTACACAAATCAAAACACCTTTTATTATTAAAAAAATATTATCTATCTGGTGCAGTAAATTACAGGTTGTAGCAGTAAAAGCACTTATAAGAGTGAGCATTTCTCTGTGAGCTGTGTTTACACGATCACTGAGATTTAGGAGATGTGCAGGGAGTGAATACAGCTGCTGAAGATTCCTCCCTGCTATCTGAATGAACCTAGGCTTGGTTTTCTGAGGAGAGCAGGCTGGGACAGTGCACAGCAAACCACAAATAAAACCCTTTCAGAGATTTTGCTGTTCCCATGCAAGCCTGAAATAAAGGTGTTTGAAAAAATAATTGACGCTCTTGAACAGGGCAGTTTCCTGGCTCAATGAAATCCACCTTCTTCCGCCACATTTTAAGCCCCCTCCCAACCAATACACTCTGCAGATACTCATCATAGGTGGATACACAATGTTATAATAGGAAAAGGGGTTGGTACATCCATGTACACAACAAACCAAATGTGCCCAATTGATCAGACTTCCTTTTCCTGTATTTTCCTGGCTGCAATCCCAAATTCTAACAACTATTTTAGGAAAGAACTCAGTGATTCATATCCAGGAGACTCAAAACTGTCCAATCTTTCAGAGCAGATTTCAATATATGGGGGGCGTGCGTGTGTGAAAAGTTCAGAACTAATGACTGTGTTTGAAATGCCAGCGGGGCACGGGCAAGCTCTGGCAGGGCAGGGGAGGGAGCTGACCTGACAAAGGGGAGCAATTAAATGCTAACCCAGTTAGGGCAGGTTCATTTAAAATCTTAAAAAGAAAGTTAAACTCCAGTCTCGGTTTTCAGAAAACGAGTACTTGGTGCTGTGCAAGACGGATCTGGAAAGAATCTGTTCCCAGCTTTTTTTATCGGCAGCTGAAATGGTAACTACAGGGCTAATCTCGCACGCTCGCCACTTGTAAAAACAGTTTTTCAATTTGTATGCATAAGCCCATGATAGGGGGGCAGCCCAAGACAAAAACCACATGCAGTGCCTTTCATGCATGTTAGCCTGAATTATAAACAAGAGGCCAAAATCTCAAATGGTTAAAACAGGGGTTGCCCAGCTGGAGTGAATGTGCTTAGAAGTGCTGAAAAAGTAGCTCTGTAAACTTGTTCACAAGAATGGTTTTGTTTAAATTAATCTATAATTCTTCCTATGAATCACACCTATTTCTGTAACTGCAGTGAATCTTAAAGCTGTGCATCAGCAGGCTGCTCTCCAAAATATTCCAAGATTACTGGCAGCATTCAATTCTGCCTGACACTTTTCTTGACCTGTTTCTCTGTAACACTGAAAAAATGCCAGATGAGTAATTATAGTCCTGGACACAGCAGCAGAAACCTGTTCTTTAACTTCTACATTTGAATACCTCTTTGTCTTATTTCTGCATATAACCCTGTTCCCTGAAAACAATGACAGTGAATATGGGAGTGAAGGTGTCTTTGGAGAGAGGAGGCCTGAGGAAAAATTTCCTTTGAATTACCTGTGCAGATGTAGAACCTGCACTGCTGCTGGATCACAGATGAGATTTGAGGCTGTTTTTTGTTTTAAACTTGTAACAAGGGAAGCAGCAACTAACGAGAAATTGCATTTAATTTTTTGTTTCATTTAAATGAGAATCTGGTCAACAAAATGTTGATGGTGATAAGGCTCAGTAATAGATAGAATTTTTTGATTTCATTTTTTTTCATCATAAATGGATCTGGCTTTTTACATTTAAAATAACGCAATATTTTGCTCAGTTCTTAAAAAATAAATCTATTAATCAAAGAACAGGTTTGACAGATTTTTTTAATTATGGTGTAAATGGTTAAATACACTAGTTAGTGTATTTACTAACACTAAGCAGTAATCACAAACCCACTGTTTTATATATTTGAGATGCTAAATTGCAAAACACTAAACTTTGACACTGACTGAAATCCCTGCAAGTAATAAAGGACAATAAATCCAGAAGACTGGACATATGGATATGGAATTTGTGTGAAAATTTGTTTCCTCTCTATGGATACACATTCTGGAAGATTCTCCCTTAAAAGAAATGAAAACATGGATGAATGTTTTTACCTTGATATGCATCTTAGCTCTTTTCAACAGACTTAGAGTGGTGTGTCTGGTGCTGTCCGGCCCGAGAGGCACAAGCTGTTTTAGCTGTTCCAAATATAGCCGGAGTTTAGCCCGCCTGCAATCATTAAAAACGAAGAGCGTTGTAGTGGAGTTGCACCCGAACAGAATATCCTATATGCAAACACCATCTGTTTGCAGGATCTCTGTGCAGAACTCGAGTCAATGGTGGCTTCCTTTCCCCTCCCTTTGGCAAAGTTTCAGACTGAAAGGTCACTTGAAATGCAGTAATGCTGCTTGGCACACTCAGACAGGAGGCTCATACCTGTATTTCAAAGCAGTTTGCTCAGCCTGGTCAGTCCCATCTTACCCAAAGTGGAGTATGCTCAGAGATCTGAGACATCCAGGCAAGGCTGCACACTCAACTTACGGCTGGGTAAGGAAAAAAAAACCTGGGATTTTGCTCCAATGCAGTGATTTCTGAAGGCACAGACAAAGCTGTGGGCAGCTGCAGACCCTGATCCCCCTCTCCCCATTCCTACCCCTGCCTGCTGCAATAGGACACACTCTAGCTATGCAAGGCAACGGCATCCGTGCAGCTCTTCACAGCTCAGAGCTGTTTCCAGCCATGGTTTAACAATGTATTCTAACAGGGAGGTCCTGATGCCCCTTCTCCTCTCTTCTACTGACCCACAGCCCCCCAGAAGGAGACATTCTTCCTCTCACTGTACAGTGTTTATTATAAACAGACAAGAAAAAACACTTCCAGCCATATTTCTCAACAACAGGGTCCTGCTTTCTCTGTTACTCTCTTGCGAGTATCACTACTGCTGCTCTCAACAATCTCCCCTGTACTACTGCCATTAATCTATCAGTAAAAAGAGGATGAACCAAGTACTATTTCTACAAATGTTTCCCAAACTAGAAAGCAGCTGGTAATACAACAGTCCATGAAACAGTTGCTTGATCTATCCAAAACAAGGCAGTGGCCAACCAAAGAACAGCGTGCGAGTGCATTTCTACAGTTACATCCTAAAGAAAATCTCTTCTGGTTTTGATTCACAGCCCTTGAACAGGAATCCACACGGTTCTGCAATGAGATAGAAACGGATGTGGAAGTGCTCCCATGAATATCTGCTATTAGCCTTTCTGCCAGCCTGTTACAGACTGAGCAAAGCAATGACCTGGAGCTGAAACCGCCCTCACAGCCGTAAGAATAACTGAAGCAGATCACAAGTGTGAGGTGAATAATCATCTTTTTCAAATTTGCTCAATGCTGCATGAAGGAAACAAACACTGCAGAGGATTCAACACTTCTGGTTGAGAATGAACTTTCTTTTGAACAATGAGTTCAGAACCACAGTCCAGCATCAGTGTTTAAAATGCAGCTGAACAGGATTTAATATGCACCAAATGACAAATTACACATGTGCAATTGGAATTATTAGTGCAATGTGAAAACAACCTCAGAATTATTGGTGAAAAAACCCAAAGCAAAATAGAATATAATACAGAACAGTAATGACTACATATTCACACATTTAGTTCTTTCTGCCTAAAAATCAGCAGTGTACTAGGTAAGAAATCACAAAGCATTTCCATAAAATTTCTAATTTTTCTTCAAAAGCCATTTAGGGAAAAAGGATTTTTGGTGAAAATGTGATTCACATGAGAAAACTGATGACAGGCTTTTTGTTTAGGCCTAGGTTTGTTTTTAAATACAAGGCTCTAAACTTAAGCATCTAAATGCTTTTATTTAAACAACACCAACAAAGACTGGCCTAAGTATTCACAAAAATAGCCCCCTCAGATCCCCTGAGGCTGCTACCTTAAACTGGGACATTAATCTTTAAAATGGTGAAATACCCACAATAGGGACTACTGGTATTTATACAGAAAATCTTAATGAGGCAAATTTTTATTTCTGTGTCTGTAATCTCTAACAACTGTCTGGCTGGATTTGGGTTTTAAATACGAAACCCTGCATCAGGGACTAAATTCAAATAATCTTTTTGTTTCCTAAATGGCCTCTGAACATACACACGAGTCTGCATCACTCAGCCCAGCCTGGATGCAACTGTATTTAGACTGATGACAAGGAAGTGGGGACTGAAGATGAAGGAGGATATAGGAAGGAACAGGAGAAGGATAGTACCAAATAGTAGATAGAGAGGTAAACACCTTGAAATGGAATGATCAATATACTGGGAGCAATTAAAAATCTGATAAGGATCTGTTGATCTGAGATTTACTTAGTATTAATTCTGGAATTCTTCAGACTACATACTAATCTGCCTCTTGCTATTTGAGGAAAGTCTGCTTACCACAGGGAGAAGAAAGTAAGGCTTTAGTGAGCTTCCTTGCCGTCAACTGGGGAGTTCACAGAAATATCACCAAGGATCAGGGGCATGGCTGTGTGCCTTTTTAAAGCACAAACTCTTTTATGTTACCTGCCAGCCCAGCAGAGCAGGACTTCACAGAAGCGCCATGAAGAACATGGGATTGAATCTATGAAGAGTATTTTAAGTGACCAGTAAGAATGAAAAGATCTGAATGTTAACAAAACTGCTTTAAGGCTTTTTCAGTACTACCAGCCAATACTGATATCATGTAATAAACACACTTGCTGAAAGACCTCCTCTAACTTCACCTTTTTTTCTTAAAGAGACTTTTTCTTTCATCTAATTACTCAACACCTATGAATCCATTACAGACTTTAAAGCATAAGTTTTACACAGATGTTGACATAAATGCAAACATGTTTATGTGACTAATTCATATATTTTAATTGATGGCATAGATTGTAAATGCACAAAAAGAAAACCAGCCCACCACAATTCCTCTGGTGCTGGAGTAAACATCCCCACGTTTTTCATCTTGCACATCTTAGAAAAAACTGTAAGAATGTAAGAAAACATTTCAGGCATGTTACGTTAACAGATCACACCAGCAGGAACAAGGGACTCAAACTTCACAGCAGAGAAGTTGTCTCATACAGATTCTGCCAGCACTAATTTCTCTCTTTTTCTGCAGGGACCTGACAGCTTTTGCTTTTCTTCGGCTGCCTGCGACCACAGAAGGAGGGAAAGGCACTCACAGAGGTAATCACAGCCAGAGCTGCTTTGTGTTTTGCAGCTCACGCCTTAAATTCCACCTACAAAAATAACAAGAAGAAAGGAAAAAAAATAAGCAGCCTGGTGTCAGAGCAACAGGGTAGCAGTGTCTGTGCATGAAATGTGGTTGAAGTTGGGTAATTATGCTCTGCTCCAGCTTCCAACCCCTGTGCTACACCTTTGCCCACACCCAGTGTGGTATCAGGACTGGACACCAGGCAGAAGAGGGCACTTTCCTCACCTCAGGTGGATGCACAGAAATACCCCCTTCATCACTGGTACTGATTTCATCTGGGAAGGTAGGGATCTAAAATGTGCCATCCAAAATCTGAAATCCAAATCAAGCCTGCAGCTCTCTGTTTTGGGTGTAGCCCCACATATGGAGAGGTGCATGGGTGCCCAGTCTGATTTATCACATTGTCCTTTGTGCCAGATGATAAAGGGGTTTCAGATGTTCAAGACTCCAGTGTTTCTCCATAAGCAAGTTCACGGCAGGGTCCTCTGAGTCTGCTTTACAGCTTTTCTAGTGCTTGATAGGCCCAGGCTGGTCAGCATTCCAGGGCAGTGGCTTTGTCTAGCAGCTGTCCGGTGGTTCCTCATATTCACGTAAAGGACAAAGCCACCTGCTGACAACTGACCCAAAGGCTACCAGCAGGAACTGCCTTTAACTGGTTTTGAATTCCTGTAAGCCAGAATGGGCAACAGAGGCAGGGGTTTCAGAGCCCATGGCAGAATGAACCCTGGAGCCCCACAACATGGAGGGACAAAGCAGCAAAAAGGTGGTATTAAGAATTTTCCTGTAGAACAAGGACATTCACCAGAAGACCATCACAGGAAGACCACTCACTGACTCTAGTCCTTGGAGAGTCCAGTTTGCTCCAGTGTTCAGCTATGGAAAGGCAGATTCACCACTTCTCAAAGAAAGGATTGCCATACAAAGGTGTACTATGATCTTTGACCTTAATCAATTTCAAAACTGTGTTAAATTAGTCTATTAAATAATAGTCAATAAGCTTTGCTGCATATATGAAATCTCAGATGGATATCCAAGCAGCACTCCAAGAAATGGAATACTAAGATGCAGAAAAAAAAGAAGAAAAAAGAAAAAAAAAAAAGAAACAAGAAAGTCCATTGTTCACCCTGGATAATCTTCATTCCAAGGAAACTGCAACAACTCCAAGAAATTCCTACAACCACTTGACAGGCGGTTGCAATGGGAACAAAATGCTTTTCTGTAGGGCTAAATAATGCAACAAAAGGCAATGGCTGTGAATTCAGAGGTTCAGGATGGACACTGGGAAACAAATTTTTTATTGTGGTGCACAATCAGAATAGGTTGCCCAGAAAGGCAGACCTCGGAGGTTCTTGAAGATTTACCCAGACAGAGCCATAAACATTCACAGACACACATTCATGTCCATGAACATGTAAATCCAAGACTGCCTGTAACCCTTCAGCATTTGACTCACAAGATTGCTCTCATTCATGTACCAGCAAAACATCCACAGCTGTGTGGCTTAAACCTGTTCTACTCTGGTTGACAGAATGCTGGTAGGTTTGTGGAGTGACCTGATCCACTGCAGCCTTTCCACAAGGGCTCTCCAGGGCTTTTTCAGGTCCAGCACAGCAGAGAGAAATGGCCTGCAGCCAGTCAGACAGCAGATAGCTGTTCAAGCAACAGTCACACAGTTTTTTGACAGCAGCAAAGGTGTGTTTCCTAAACCATTCAAGTGTAAATCTACTGGCTTTATTTAGAGGCCACTGAGCTGCACAGAGCCAGCTGCAAAGGCAGGGTGCATATCCTAAACAGGCTGCTCAGTCCTCAGCATGGAATGCCTCAGGCCTGCCGACATTAAATGGCCACAGACACTCATGATACAGGGTGACAGCACTGAGCTCCTGTGAAATGTGTGCCTGTCCATCCTGCCACCCCAGCTGGGCACTCCCTGCAGACCAGCTTCCAAGAGCCCTCCACATCTTCATGGCAGGTAGCACGGGGTAGGCA